TCTCTCTCTCTCTCCTTCTTTCCGTCTCGTCTCGCACAACGACGAGACCGAGGCGCGGCCGAGTCGAGTCGAGCCGGGAGCCAGGAGTCACGGCGGGACCGAGACGCGTGTTGTGCCATCGATACGCTCGGCGGAGGACGAGAGCGGCACAGGAGCGAGCGAGCGAGAAAGCCACAGGACTCCGCGCGGAAGGAGCGGGAGCGAGAGCGCAACGCGAGAACGAGGACGAGCGAGGAAGAGCGAGAAAGGTAAGGAGGAGCCGGCGGCAGCGGCGGTTTCAGCTTCCTGTTCGTGCTTATCGGCGGAACGCGGCGAACCGAACGACGTCGCAAATTCCGGTTCCGGATGATGCTCTCGCTCTCGCGTTCCATCCTGCTCCGACCCTCGTTTCCTCGAGACGTGTGCCGGCACCGGGGATGAACGCCCGAGAATACAACAACGCGCAGCCGGTCGGCGATTTAGACGGAACGCGACGTCGTCTTTTAAATGACCTTTCGTTTCTCCCCTCTCCCCCCCCCCGCCGTCCCTCTCATCGCGGGGAACGGGTTTTCCCATCTCTAGCTTCACTCGAGCCGCTGTTGCGCGTAGTAGGTGAAGGTTCAACACTCCCTTGGCGACAAAAGGGATGCGCGCGGGGATCGCGATGTGAACTCGAGCGTCGTCGCCGCTCATCGGCGAATCGAACACCGAGATATCGCGCGACGACGCAGTCCACGTGTCTCTTGGAATCTACTCGAAATTAAAGGCCGAGGTGTAATTCCAACCTTGATCGCGTGTAACTCGCGTCCATCGACCTCCTGTCTTCGCGAGGGGAAACGTCGTTCGTCGCACGGACACGACGATACGCGCGAGAAACCTTCGCTCGATATTGTTTTCCGATCAATTAATTTATAAATAGCGAATTAAAGCGATTCTCGCTGAAGCAAAGTCAACATCTCGAAGTTAATAGCAAAACAAGGCTTTAACCCCGGGATGTATTCGGATGATTTACATTCATTTCTCTATCGATGTATAGATTAATTCTAATCTCGGTTCAATGATACTCCTTATCATCTTTTAATATTTAAAAGAAGATAAAGAATAAATTGAATCGAGGAGATAGTTCACATTAAAACCATAAAAGTGAACATCAATCAGAGTCGAAAACATTTTCAGGACGTACAGTTGTGTGGAATCGCTCCCCGGCGACTTGTGAGGAATCGCCTAGTAGCTAATTAAATGCAAATTGCACCTCCCGAGCAGGAGGGGGCGGTGAAGGGCAGTTCGATTTACTCCAATCCGAGTTTTACGAGAGCCGGAGTCGCCGTCCGGCGACTCCCAGCAGGACGAATGCGATCGGGAATTGCGTAAATCCCGTGCAGATCCCGCGGGAGAGTTCGCGTAGCCTTGAAGGGCTCACACCGAGGGCCAGTTCCCATGGAGACCGGACGGAGGAGCCCTTCGAAAGGCGGACGGACGGACGGACGGACGGACGGATGGGCGGGCAGGCGGGCGGAGGCGCGAGCGTTTCGCACGGCGTGAAAATCGACGCCGCCGCCGCGGCCTTCGCTATTTTTACCGTCCTTCGCGTGAGGGATGCGATGCGGTTGCGGGGTTGCGGGGGAGTTCGTTTCGGTGCGGAAGCACCGGGTGAATGGTGAGTCATCCGGCATTTGTGTGCTTCGACTTCTCTTCGTTTTGCCTGCCTGCCCGCCTTGCCCGTCCGCCCTGGGTGGGGTCGGACCCGGTCGAAACGTAAGAGCGCCAGGGAGTGACACATCGATGTTTCCAGGGGAAGTAATCAGGAAGCGACAAAGAGCTCGATTACTCCGCCTCGATCCTTCTGGATCTTTTTTTCGGTTCCTCCCTTTTCCTCGTTCGCGCTTTTCAATCCGTAAGAATCGATTTGTTCTGTTCGACTGGCGATGGCTGCGATCTGTCGGCCACCTCGATTTTCCTTCTGCCTGAAATATGTTCGAGAAATCTGCCACGCAGAATGTTTGAAACAAGCGTATTTTTAATTAGAGATTCGATCGCTCGATCTTTTTCTTCGAGTGGTTTTTAGTTTCAACCGAGTTTTCCGAGGGATTAAGGAACTGATACCTGACCTGATGTAAGATATCTAGTTATTATCTGAATAGCTTTTGTGTATCTATATATACAACTATAGTTAAAGTTTTTAATCTAATAACTCTAGCAACAACCAATTACATTTCTTTCTGTATCCTATTTAAAATATTGATTTAGGCACAGTTTTGAAATAATTTCTCCAAAGAGTTTTTTCATTTCTCTCGATGTTCTTTTGCTGTTTCTCAATTTTCTATTTTCTTTTTGGTAATTTTATTCTAATAATATATGCGTGAATAATAATTTTTTTACACATTATTATTTCCATATCTATGGGCGATATTTATAATCCGTTCTTTTAAGATCATTTTCAACTTCCAAAGATATTGATACAGTTGTCTAATTGGCTAATAATGCCTTAAGATTATACTTAAGATGATCCTAATCATCAAATTAAATAATGTTAAATAATATTGAAAAAATTGTATATTTAATGGAATCTAGATATGGATATCTAGATACATTCTAAAAGTTATATCTATATCTAATTATTTTCTTAAAATATATATCTAGTTATATCTATATCTGTACTTGTTTACATTTTTCTTAAAATATCTCTGTAATTGCATGTAGTTATTTACAAAAATGTATCTCTTATAACATTGTTCCCGAGTACCAGTGTATTCATTAACGGCTTGAAACGCGTGGGACATTTGCCCCGGAGACCCCCGACAGATTCTGTCATTGGCGTAGGCAGCTAATTATATTACGTGTAAAAATTGAACGACGCGTTTCTCTCATCCTCCACAAGGCCAAGATGTACACTTAACGAAAGAATCCATTGAAAAAACAATATTAAGATCCCTTTTATCTACGTTACATGTAAAATAGAAACATGTGAGCGATATTCGATAAAATGTGCTCTTTTATCGTCTCGGTTGAGGAATCCTCTCGAGGAGGCCTACGCTAATCCCCCCGTAACTTGAAATTTTACATATTTTCATATTCCTATATTTTTTAAGTGATTTAATTAACCGCTTACCGGTTGTGGAACTTCTTCTTTTTTTTTGCGAGCGAAAAAATAATCCGGTTATGAGTTAGCGCGAGCGGAACAAAGTTCACAACGCGCTGTCGCGCGCGAAAGGAACGGCCGGGGGGGGCAGGGGGAGGGAGGGGGAGGGGGAGGGAATGAACGTCTGGAATAAACGCGTAGTGTCAGACGGGCGGTATCGCCCCCTCGCAAGATTAATGCATGCGCCCCGCGATTGTGCATCCGTGGGACTGGGTAACAATCGCGGCCATTTAAACGCGAGGACGAGACACGAGAGAACTGCTCGCGCGTTTCTATGCGCCGGGGTGACGTGATGCACTTTGCACCTATGCCCCCTTCCTTCCGCCCGAAACGCAAAAGGGAGTACGCGATTCTGCCGGCGAATACGCATAACACATTCGTAGAGAACTAGTTTAGAACGGTCGCTTTCACTAACTTCGTTTAACTTCGCAGTAATGTGACACAGTCGGTGATTTCGAATTATTCGCGGAAATGTAATTATCGTTGTAACAAAGCATTTTCGACTGTGACACACGTGACATTCAGTAACATGTTCACTCGCCTCACGGTACACGGAAGAGACAATTTTGCTTCCGCGGAATCCAAAAATTTAGATGTGGATTTAAAAAATAATTTTGTTGGTTATCAAAATTATTACGTAAATTATTACGTATTTAAATATGATAATAATAATGTAAAATTTTTTTTATATTTTAACAACTAATTTAAATGTCTTGCGTAATTATTTTGATACCTTAATAAAATTATTTTTCAGATTTATCCGATATTAGATTTTTCAACAAAACTATTCTTTCCATGTAATTCTGCTGGTCTCTTCGGATACGAAAGAGTAGTTTTATTGGAATATCTAAAAATTTGGACAGATACAAATCTGAAAATAATTTCGTTGGATCAAAATTATTATGTAGGACGTTTAAATATGATAATAATATCGCAACATTTTATTCTAGCAATTAATTTGAATGTCCTACTTAATTATTTCGATAGCCCAATAAAATTATTTTTCAAATTTATCCAGCAAAACTATTCTTTCCGTATAATTCTCCAGAATAATTTTAGAATAATTTTTCTGAAATATCTAAAAATTTGGCCAGATACAGATCTGAAAATAATTTCAAACTTAATTTATTTTTAATTAACCAACAGAGAGATTATTTTCAGATCTCTGTATCTGACCAAACATTTAGATACTTCAAAACCGTTCTTTTCATGAATTATTGCTGAATTATTACGTGGAGTTAAATTTAATTTAATCGTGATCATAATTGGCGAGCAGATTGCATTTTAAGTGGACTCAGATTACAAACGACAGAAACAATCACGGATTACGTATATTATTCTCGTAGAAGCTAATCGAGCCGAATGCTATTACGTCGTCTTCTGTTACGACGTTTTATTCTAACGCAAGTTTAGGATGCTACGAATGATTCGCAACACATGTGTCGCCAGATTTATCCTGACAATCGAGTTTCTACTTCTGGAACGTTCTGCCAAAGCTCAGAAATTTAATTAACCACACACAAATTTAATTAACCAAACACAATGATCGAAATATTTAATTGATACACTTTCCATCTTGCCATCTTGATAAAATCGAAATTTTGAATATTTTTATAAAAATGGATAAAAATGAATAAAGATTATTGAAAGGAAGTAAATTGACATCCTACGTACGATAAATTGGATCATCAACATGCTGTAATTGAGTATCGCAATTGCCGCGATCATCCAAATTGCGGATGATCTCGGAGAAATGATTTGTGTTCTTGCCGATCGTTCGATCGTTGCGACGGCTTAAGCAGCTGCTATCATACACTCAGCATTACTTTAACCATCATCGCGACGGGCATTTGCGAAAGTCATCCGACGACAAAAAGGGTCCGCAGCAGGCGTGCAATGGCACAAAAAAACATAGAGAAATAACACGCATGTCGCACTCGCGCGTGCTGCACCGGTTTCTTGTCGCGGATTTTTGCAGCCAGTCGCAGCTGCAACTTTCGAGCGAGAGAAAAGGGAATGTCACCGAAAGTTCATTAAAAATTCTGTTGTTTAATCATTAATAATTTAATTCTGCCTTAAAAAGGACTCGCAAATCTCTTAGGTTGTCTCGTTGTAAAATCCATTTTTTAA